TTTTTTTTTAATTGTAAGCCGTATTAAAATCTAGTTTAGTTGAAGTTATCCTAGAGCAAGCAGAACAGAATCATCATGGCTGTTACAGTTCTTGTGCAGATCTACTTCCAACTTCTTTTTTGCAAAGTCTGAAGTTACACTTCATTTTATTTTTCTGAATTAAATTGTTTCAAAAGCAATGGTATTAATAATTTAGGTTTTGATTTCAACAGTCGTTAAGGGTAGCATAACATCTTGCTTCTGAATCATTGAGGTTCATCAGTACTCAAGCTTCATGTAATTTTGTAAGACAGAGATCCTGCTGTGATACSTCTGGTCTAACTCTCAGTATGCCACTTTTAACTAAATGATTAGAAGTAATACATTTTCACATTACTCTTAAGCCCACTCACATAGACAGATTTTTAGCTTCACAGTTCTTGAAGTGCAGGGCCATACCCAAACAGTGTTACACTGCTCTGTGTATATTATATCCTCATGTTGAATGTCGTTTTAAAAAGATCTCTCTAAAAATGAAGACTTCTGAGATGAACTAGTCCAGTTCATTCTTTAGAGAAAGCTATTCAGTCACTTGAAAAAACTTGGTAGAGTTTAGACCTAAAATCTACTGAAAACTGCTAATAAGTACCATAAATGATGCAAGAGAACTACATGTCACTGCTTTCTCAAATTATTGGGCAAGGCATGCGTTCAGTTGGTTGGGTTTTTATATTTCATCTTTCTCAGGAGATCAAAACTTTTCTGACAGTAAGTAGTATGTGACACAATTTTAAGCAATGCTACTTTATAAATGTGATTTTGAAAACTTCAGGTAGACTGGCCTATCGGTAAAGTCTTGTGCCTGTGACGTTTTTGAGTTGATTTTAATCTCTAGTTTAAGGTGATGTTTCTATTCTATAGCCAGGAGGATGAAACATGTAGATCAAATTCTTTGTAATGTAATTTATTAGCAGAGTTAGTACAAAGTGAACAGATACTCTGTGAAGACATAAACTGAAAAACTTTCCAGTGCAGTTTCATAGCTGTGGGTTATGTTTCATGTTAACCCTCAGGTGTATTTGGATGACAGGGCAGATACATGCACTGTTACTCCTGCACTGTGGGGCTTCTTCCAGTGATCAGAACCTAATGCACTTCAAATTACCAAGGTTTAAGAAAGAAAACGTGTTTATTTTGATACAAATATATTCTGATTCCAGCTAATTCTACTAATTTCTGCAAGATTTAAAATCAGATGTTTGGTGCTGACATTGTATAAGTAATGTCACTTCCATTCATATAGATGGGACTTTATGTACAACAGTTTTCCATTTGCATACAATGAACTGGTGCTGGTAACATCAGTTCACTGTGTAGCCAGTGAAGCCTCTGGATCTGCCTCTGCAGAAGATTATTACAGCTCAGCCTGTAAGGCATGGGCAGGGATCTCTGTACCATCTGGACGGGGAAAGTGTGGTATAAGTTATGTGTCTGCCCAATCACATTTGTGAAATACGCCTGTGCTGAAGCATAGTATGGAATTCACAGTAGTGTAGACTAAACAGCTTTTTCTGTTTTCTCATTTTTTGTGGTCAAGTAATCCTGTGCTGCAAAAAATAATTAGCTTAATTCTTATTTTTCCTAACAGGAAAGGAAGACACTCCATCRTTGCTTGGTCTCTGTGGCTCTCTTACATCAGTAGCAAGCTACAAGTCTCTCACAAGTCTGAAATCAAGTGAATGCCTTGCAAGTCCCACAACAGAGATGACAAGTCCAGGCTTAACACCATCTTGAGATACRCACCAGAAAGAAGAGCTTTGTCTTGGATGCATTTGGTTTATGTTCCATAAAATGACTTGCAGTGAAGACTGCTAGTTCTGAGTTAAAAAATAAGCTGCTTTATTTTTTCTTTTCATGGTTACCTTTATAATTTACAAATTTGGTTAGTTTTCATTCCCCCATTTTTTTTCCCCAGAGGACTTTTCAGATTTTCTATTTATTGTGGAATTATTTAAAGCTCTTGGTCAGGTACAGAATGTATAGTGTGATGCTTATGACTGATTTTAAAAATGAAACTGGAAATCGGTCTCATACTTACTTGCCATCAGCTTTGTTTCTCCTTGCACTAGCCTGGCCCTGCTGTAGCCACTGTACTCTGCAGTGCTTTAAATATCTATTAACTCTTGCAGAACAGACARGGAATCCTTAACACCAGTCTTTGTAGGCAAATGAATACCTAAAAATCCAGCTTGTCACCAGTGTATGTTGCATAGGGCCTCAAATAGCATATTTAACCTATCAACAGCTTTCCTCAAGTTAACTCAGTGTTAGGTTTTGGATTCCTGTTAATATCGTGGCACTTAAGAGATGTCCCAATGGCACTGAGGAATCACACTGAAACACTCTTGCAAACTCTTGAAATTGCATGTGAATAACAAATGTAACTTGATCATATAAATCAAGCATACCTAGTGATTTGTAAATAGTGAGCAAACTCACTAAATGCTTTTAAGTGGCCAGGGTTACAGATAATCTAACATTATACAAGAAATTTCTTGCAGAAAGGATGGGGGCTACAGATGATGGGGGTTAGCATCTTSTGAAGTTTGGATTCTGTGTTTATTGGCAAGATCCCAAGGAGAGTGAAACGGGAAACAATGTAATGATTGTATTTGTGTGTTGAAGACTTTTCTCATCCCTGTAGTAGTGCAGTAGGTATTTTTCTTGCTTAAGTAATACAGCAGAACTTATTTAGGTCTGTTTTATCAAATTACTTGCCATTGATTTAAATTACTGATACGAGGAAAAAAAAGGGAGACATTTTTTAAATGTAGCTAWCTTTCCAGATTACCCTACAGTTTCAAAGTTTGCAAAATAATTTTTGAATTGCAAACTATATTCTTAATTCTTTGTAAGATACAATGGATCCTTTATCTATGAATTTTGCTAATCAAGGTAATGCTTATCAGTATAATTAGTAACTTTTTAAAAAAAGTAAAATGCATGTAAGTATGTTGTATTTATAAGTGCTAGGGAAAATGCTTTTTTGTGCCAAAGAAGTTTCATAAATTGTTTACATGAGTAGCTGCAATACAAGACATATTTTTAATTATTGCTTACTCCTAGGTGTTTACAGTATGTCACTACACTCTGTACAGGTTTAGTTGATTTGCCTCTTGTGATGGTACCTTGGCACTACTATTATAAACTGGTCATCATAGGGTGGGCTTGAAAGAAAAAGGATTMATTCTTACCTTTACTGAAACTATAAGAAATATTTAGCCTTTGTAAGTATGAGGCTATGCATTTCTGGAATACAAGGCACTGTTGGATTTAGCTGGAGGAGGTTAAAAATCCATCTCCTCAACTCTCTAGTCCATGCTGCTGGAGGTYACTGCATCCATGGCAGGATACACAACTACTGATGCTCTTTTAATGCAGAATTTTAAAGCAGTTTAGCAAAATCCAGCAGGTCTTTCAAGCCCTYATGTACCCACCCAGTTAATTTCTCTGTAATAAACTCTGACCATTAAATTCTTTCATTCAACGTCAGAATATCCATTACTTCATGGAACTGGTTTTTGTTACCACATTGAGCACCTGTTTCTTGAGTAACATTATGAAATATAAATTTGTAAACTAGAGATGCATTTTTACTACAAATAAAATGGAGGAATCCAGATTCCACAAGTTAACATTCTACATCAATGTACCGTGATTTAATCAGTCTTGTTTCCTGTTAAACACTTCTCACACTATGTCAGTATTTTGGAAGGGGCAGTAATCATGATCCTCAGTCATGTTCACTGATGGCTCTTTTCTTAGAGCTACGTGTTGTTTTAGCTGTAGTCTTTTATGTAGTCTGACACGTGTTTCTGGGTGTCATTTTGTGCATGGGCAATCAGTTATGTGCATCTTTCTGAGTTCTAAACATCAATCTTTTTTTTTAAAAGTATTTTAAACTGCCAGAACTGTATGTTTTGTTGCCTTGATGTTCCATAAATGTTGCATGTAAATTAAACATTTTGTATCATCCTAGTTACAAGTTGTTGTCTCTGTTTTAATCACACAGGATAAAGACCGTTCAGTAAATTACAGTWTTACTGAGCTTATAGAAATTCTTTTCCTGCAAAATGGGGAGACTCTGGTTTTCTTGCTGTATRTCATTCAGTGTCCTCCAGTATCTGCTGTTACTATTTTCTCTTAGGCCTCATTTTGTAAATTTACATTCAAAAGTTGAAGAATAGTGTTAAGCATGTCCTCGCAGCACCTCTTACCAGCACCATGGTACCTAATGTGGTACGTAACATCTTTACAAGTAAAGCTCTTTGCAGTGTGWGAGGAATTTTCACCATGGACTGAAGTCTATTTCTTGGGCAAAGAACACCCAAATGTCAGTTTCTAAATGACATTTACTGAGTTGCTTTTGTTTCAGCACTTCCCTCATTAAAATACACCAAAAAAAATTAAATTCAGCAACTTCATTGAAAATGCATGAAAGGGAGGTAGTGATAGTGACAAATCSCACCTCCCAGAAACAGGAGAGGGAACGTATCTGCAGAGCACCTATACAGGCCCTTGGCTCCAAKGCCCAGGTGTGCTTTAATTTCTTAGAGTATCACCTTAGCAAAAAGCCCCTGCTGTCCCTATCAGTGTATCCACCATGCTCTCTCACTGTCTAATAAGCATGTTTTCCAGTCTGACAGAAAGAATTTTTCACTTAAAATAAACCTGAGAAGCTTTTATAATACACACTTCTTATACAAAATACAGAGCTGCAATAACAAACATGGCTCCTGTGCTCTGGCACACACAGGYGGCCTCTACTAAAAAACATATATCAAGCAGCAAGAATAAATAAGCATTTATTGAATTCACTCTGTATCAACTTCATTACTGAGAAATAAATATATCTTACAATTGGAAACCCAATGCATTTTAAACATAATTTCAAAACCCAACAAAAATATTTAATCACGACTGAAACACAGTGGAAGTCATTAGTCTTCATTGGTATGTTCAGCCTCAATCTTTTTTTCTTCTCCTCCTTTTTTCTTTTGTTCTTCCTTCCCTTCTTTTTTCTCTCTAGCTGCAAGAGAAGTCAAAATATCTTCAATGATAGTTTAAGGCTCGTGTATTTTCTTAGTCTTAATAAAAAGAGTGAATTAATCCTTTGTGAAACAGTTAAAAATGAAGCTTTATTTAGTTACCAAATGTAATGGTAGAAATCACTGGGAATTCTAAAAAACATCTTCACAGATTTAAATCTGGCACAGTTTCCATTGTATGCTTTGACTTCACACAACTGGATGAAGAATTATGGACGTTGATTCATTTTTTCATTTAAATGAGAAAAGACAGACTTTCCATATTCGTATGTGCTGATCATTATGGCACAAGCAGGAGCAATTTTAACCAGCCGTGGAGTAATACCTGCCCAGAAGAGAAAGGGAAGTACTCACTATTACTTGTTTGCAGACCCAAGTGCTGCAGTACAATTTGTTGATCATAACATATTGATTCCATAGTGTATCAGTTTAGAACTGGGATTCTACCTGCCCACATTCCTCAAAATACTGAGTTTACTGGCAGTAGGTATTACCAAGTGTAATAACCTTATACCCTCACCCATGCCACCTTGTGTGGTCTGCCTGCCTTCAGTCCATTGTGTCTCTCCTCCYTCTGACCCCATGCAGCTGGAGCACCTGGATCTGCAGGGCTCCTGTGTGCTCCAGCACACAAGAGGTTTTCTCTACTAAAATGAAAGAATTCTGGTCACATGTATAAATGATAGAATTTAACTGTTAAACCACTCCTGCAACAGTCAACTGTGATATTTTAAGAAGAGGTTAGAAAGGGATTCAGTTTAGAGGAAAGGAAAGAAGGCTGAATCCCCTTGTCTGCACACAGCCAGCCAYGTACTTCCACTTGAAATGCAAAGATGTCTGCAGGGAGCAGCGCAGATGACACAGGACCTATGGAAACCTTGTTTTGCCTTGGAACAGCAACAAGAAGCCAGGCAGACTAAACTCCAGTCATCTCAGCTACACGTGGGCAACTGAACCGAACTAGTGGCTGATGAAGCAAGTATCTATCTCTAAACTCTGCTACTCATATCAAGACCTAAAGTGTTCCTATCAACTGAATTCTACCCAAAATGGCTAAAAATATTGATACTTCGTTGTGTCTTGCAGTCCATTGGCATCAGTGCTCTGAAACATGCACATCCTTACCCAGCTATGCCATCACCGTAAAGTGAGTAAAGCAGTTTAATCTCTTTCAGCAAACACAACTCTTGCAAGGCTTAACCAACAGTGCAGCCATTCGCACACAGGCCCCCAATGAACCAGTGCAGTGTGGCAAAGACTGCTAAGTATCCTGGGTTTGGAATGTCTCTTGCATTCATGGTCATTTTGTATAAACTACTATAGGCTTTTCTCTCAGTATCACTTTAATCTCAGTGTCTTGTCATTTCCTCYTCAGTCTGCCAGTCATGCAGGAGAAGGCCAATGTTTTCCCTTGTCCTCCTCTGAACACCAACATACCTATAGAAGCTTTTCTTCTTGTCCCTGATGTCCCTGGCTGGATTTATTTCTGTCAGTACTTTACCTTTCCTAACTTGATCCCTGGCTGTTTGGACCATTTCTCTGGGACAGGTTACCTGTCCTTGCTTCCACCCTCTGTTGGCTTCCTTTCTGTGTTTCACTTTGTCCAGGAGCTCCCTCTTCCTCCACACAGACCTCCTGGAGTTTTCAGCTGACTTTCTCTTTGATGGGGYACATTGTTCCTGAGCCTGGAGGAGGTGATTCTTGAATATTAACCAGCTTTCTTGGGCCCCTCATCCCTCCAGGGCTTTCTCCCATGGTACTCTACCAAGAGGATCCCTGAAGAGGCCAAACTCTGCATGTCTGTTGCTTTATATATGCAAACTATTGCATAACTGACAGTGTTCAAAGAAATGGAAATATTAAATAATTTATGAATGTGAACATTATAATCACCCATTAATGATTAAAGAACTCTCCAKTCTGAATTTTTTTAGAGATAGAAAAAAAATTTACCAGTATATAATCCAGTAATCCCATTTCTAGCAAGAATTTTCCTCATAACTGCCCAGGTTGATGTACCGTCCCTCTGTGGAACTCAATATAGTACAAGACAACAGTGAATTAAGCAATCCATGCAATGCCACAAAATAATAATTTTATATATCAGAGACAGTCACAGATGTAATTGTTAGGTTTAACTCCTTTTGTGTTCATTTTATCCATCTTACTTACTTATACAATATGTTAAATTAATACAGTATGCAAACACAAGTTGAAATAGCATGACATGGAAAAGCCTCCAACACCTAGAGTAAGATACATGAACAGCTACAATAGTCCTTACTAGATTGCTGATACAGGTGAAAAAAGTCAAAGCAGTTTCACAGAATACATTTATCAGGCATATCCTACAGCATTTGGAAGACAAAAAATATTTTTGTAGCCACAGCAAGAAAAAATGTAGATGCACAATCAGTGTTCAACTTTAACAGTAACTGGATTTGGAAAGAATTACACTGGTACAAATTAAAGATTACCATAATAAAATTTTAAATATATATTTTAATCTTGTTAATATTAACCTAATAAATATATGGCAGACGTGTTGCAAAGTGATGTTAATAATTAATTCTTAAATTCATCAGCACAGGAAAAAAACTGAAAAATGGTAACTTTATATTTAAAGCTTTTTTGGCATTTGTCTGTTGTGCAATCAAGAACTAATATATATTTTCAAGAATTACACTAGAAAAAAAAATTAACTGAGAGAATGAAAACGCATGCCAAAAAGTAAGCATTTATTTTCTGAGCAGAAATTGTCTGGATACTCAGCCTTTTCCCTGATGTGTAATCTCAAAGCCATGATATAATATTTAAGTTAATGGAAGTCCCTCACGTGTCCAGATCCCAATGGAAAAGAAAGGTATTATATGAAACTTCAATTAGTGTATAAAACACAGTGATGCTCTGCTGACCAGAACAAAACAGACACTTGMTCTTTCATCCTTTAAAGATGCTGGGACATTCACTAAGATGTCCTTGAAAATAACTTTTTTAAAATTACATGCAAAGAAGATAAAAAATACACAACCTGAGCACAATGCTTTCTTTCTAGTCTAATACTTAACAAGAAAATATAGTTATGCAGGAGCAAGTGGTAGGGAATGTTATTTTGAAAACTTTTTTTAATGSATCACTGTTCACCTGATTTTTTTATAGTTAGTTTTTTGACTATTTAAATATAACTTGCTTCAATCAAAGGGGCCTTTACAGGTCTAGGCCAAGCTCCCTGCAAAAAGCAGGGACATCTTAAATTTGTAACTGGTCTGCCTAAATGTAATAGCTTTGGATTTGTTGCAATTTTATAGCATCTCCTTAATCTAAATTGTACTGAACTCACATCTTTTCCATGTCATTAATGGAATATGGTAGATTATTAGAAGATTAAAAATATCTTACTAGATTCTACAACCTGGAGAAGAAAAAATGCTTGAGTGAGAAAATGTTTACATATTACTTTAGAAGTGACAAATTTAAAATTCCTATCAAAAACCATACCCAAAMACTAAGTTTTATTCTTCAAAACCCTATAGGGTTTTCTTATTCTTACCAGCAACTTACTTTTTAAGGTCTCACTCTCCCAAAGTTGAATCTGCCTATGTGTTTTCACTACATCAAATGGCTGAGTTATGACAGCTGCAATCTATCAGGAAATCAGTTTTAATGTTAGTGCACCAACAACTGAAATTTAACTTAAAATTTAAAAATTCTTTAATTAAAGTGCACACAATTTAAAACTACATTTGATATTCCAAGCACATTATATTATTAAGTCTTGTATGTCAGAACACTGTAGTTTATTCATTTATTTAGGCTGATAGCCACACCACGTGTTTGAAATATAAGTACCCCAAAATATACAACATTTCTCAGAGAATCATCTAAATTCATACCTCTTTTAAATAGTTTATCAGTGCTAATAATAAAGAGTATTACTAGAAATGAAATTATATACTTACAGAGCCAGATGCTGCTCCTGAAGTAAAAGAAATAAAAAATGTAGGCTCATTTGCACCAACTTCCTTGCACATCATCTTCTTGAAATGTTCATAATTATACCAATACAATGCTATAATTACAAAAAAATAAACTTGCATTACAACAGATTTGTATGTCAAATACAAAAATTCTTATATCAAGTCCAGATGTAAGAATTCTACTGTGGCAAAAGAAGCAAGAGCTGAAAGCTTAGTAAGTGTCCTCTGTGATAACCCATGGACAGATTGGTGTGCTTCCCTTTTCTCCATATCCCAAATTTCTTCATAGGATACAAATTTTGACATTCCCTTAAGTAATCCCTACCTTAATACAATCTAACCCAAGCAATATAAAACTCACATTCAATTTAACAAAAATCAAAATGTAGGCTTCTCATTACTAGCTGTATTTTCAGGCATATTTCTGATAGATCTCCCTAATTCTATAAAAACATGTTTCATACAAAATGAAACGTGGCTCAGGACTGCCTCATACTCTTCTGAGGCACAGTATAAAATTTAATTCTGAGACAACCAAAAAATACTGGTTTGTTCCCTAGATTTATTGATAGGGGAATGCCTCTATAGGGGAATGCCTCTATAGGCAAGTCCCGCAAACAGATTTTAGGAATTACATCTGTTTCTGTGACGTTCAGCTGAACAAAACTGCACTTTTTCTGCTTTCTAACTAAAACTCAAAACTATATACTACTGGGTAGTAGAATTAGAGAGTAATTCCTCATRGCAGTTGGTTGAATAAATACTGCAAATGACAGCTCTAKATCCTGAAAGGTTYCTATGCCTCATTCAGCACTGGGATMTGGAGGTTGAGTCAGCAGCAAAATTTCACAGCATTTTCTTTGCCAGGAAGACTACCAGCACATATGCCTGGCCTCCAACATTTTGCAAAAGTTAAAGTAGGCCGTATCTCAGAAGGCATTCTCAGGATTTGAGGAAAACCTACTATTGAAATGTACAAAACCCTAATTTAATATAAATTATTTAAATCCAAAATTTTCTTAAGCACCTCCAGGATTCATTTCCGTGAATCCCATTTACATTTATATTGTCTGCAACACTGCTTTAAGGACTCAAATATTATTATTATTATTAAACCACTTTTTGTGTTTATAAACATTCACAGCTTTTGTTCAGTCTAGCTAGCATCCCAAGGAACATGCTTGAARAATGTCATGAACACTTGGGCTAGGAACAGAGCAGTAATCTAATTACCATATGCTSCTTGAGTCATGCTGTGCTGTTTGACTGTTTTTACAGAGGACCTGCTTTTCTCAGTGCATTTTAAACTCTTGAGATTGCTAACTCCACCTATCTGCAGTGAAGGTGCAAATTGTGCTCTGAGAACACCAGAAACTGAGCTGCTGTTGGGGCATCAATCAAACCGAAGAGCTAAGGCTGAAGGTACAAAGGGAGCACATCTTAGCAAATGAAGAGCATTTATAAGGAAAAAACAATTATCAGAAAACACAGCTGGAAAAGGCAGTAAGCAGTATTAAACACCCTTAGCTTTATAAAATCAGAACTTTGTGGCATTTTTTAAAATACATTTTCCTTTACTCATGCTTCTACTTGCCTGCTCACTACTGGTTGAGTAGTTCTCAACAGGCAGCTACTGCCTTACAAGTTACCTTGTGCCTCTGCCTTTCCAGCATCCCATCATGCTCACAAAGTACTGGGCACAGATGACTGAGTGCCCACTGGCTGTGCAGAGCAGTTCACAAATCGACTTAAAATCAACAAGTTTGTTTTGGATCAGTGGAGGAACAGCAGGTGGGGACACAGGAATCTGAAAAGGGCTGAGGAGAATGCACATCACTTTAGTGCCTTCTTCCTTGTGCACTCCCTGACAGTGCTCTGATCGTCCCACTCTGTTAAAAGCAGCAGAGGGAAGGAAGCTCACTAGCTCCAGACACACTGCTACAGACAAAAATCAATAAAAGAACAAGAGTTTCTACTTGAAGTSAGACAGCAGGAACCAGATGAAGAATTTGAGAGTTCCCTTACAAATCTCAGCAAAACAACCTAAGAGAAAACTGTATTTGGCAGAGAAAAAGAAAGTAAATAAATTTTAAAATAAATATTGAGCAGGAAGCACTTTGGACAAAAGATTCAGATTAATTCTTGCAGTTATTTTCAGCCTTAGTGAAACCATGTTGTCAAAGGTTCAGAAGCCTTCCCTATTCCAGAAGATTAAATCAAGTCCCTTCAAGGTACTAGATCTTTAAAGCAGGAAATACATTCCAATGACAATTTCCAAACACCTCCCAGTAGCTAAGTGAAAGAGAACAGAGAATTATACATATCACAGAGAAAATTTCCAACTGAAAGTCTTAAAAAASAGTCATTGTGCAAGCTAAAGATGAGCTGAAATAACTTAGGCTCAGTTAACCCACTTGGCTACCAACTGCAATTTTTAACTAAATATCCTCATCACACCCCACTTATATCTCAGTTTGGTTCAYGGCCCATTTAAAATTTACCCTGGGTACACACATATCCCATAACAGCCCAGCCAAAGACTGATCCACTAGATTGTTTGGCAACACAAATTAAATTAGATGTCAGATCATCTTAAGAATGAAGTAGGAGAACAGAGAGAGCAGGTCAAATACTTCAAGGATTCTCTGAYTCCAAAAATAGGTTTGAATAAGAATTTTTTCCAAAAATAAGTTTGAAGAATTTTTCTGGGCCAATGTAAACTGTTCAGAGACGTCATCCCTGGTACTACCCCAATGACAGAAACTGCTTAAACGACAACTGATGTCTGATGATTCGAAACTGCTCCGACAAAAAGGGGCCTTAAAAGGACAGGGGCTTTCAGGTCCTTTAGCAGTCTCCCCTGTAACATCTCTAGTAGTTATCTTAAGGAACAGCCCTAGGACTCGCTTTGAATCAGACTTTTCTTCTTCTAGGCTTTCAGCTTTGCAGCTCTACTAAAGAGTTTTTTGGAGCACTCATACTAACTAATGCATCTTGATTTGAAAAAAAAATCTTGAAGACGCTACGGTGTCACTCTCTGTACATGTTTTCAAAATCATATAACAGAACACTCATACACAGCATGTTTATCAGCAAATACYCATTATACATATCACAGTGAAAATTTCCAACTGAAAATCTTAAAAAACAGTCATTRTGTTTTTAAAGATGAGAAGAAAGAGTTTAAGTATAGAGAAAGGGAATGTAACAATGAACCCTATCTGGTATCCACAAACAAAATGGGGTGAAAAAAATCACATCTTCAGAGAATTTATAAATAAAACGTTCAAAAGAGAATAAGGAAATCAAGTCATTCCTAAAGCTAACCATTAAAACTACCTAAAAGCACAAAAAAAACCCCATAAACAGCTGCATGGAAAATAAACCCTACCTGAGAAAGGAACATCTCTCAGAATAGTAGGACTCCAGCCTGTCCACAGGGAGAACCACCCATCTGCAGCCACTTTGGTGCTGACACACAGGTACAGCTGTTTGTAGGACAACTTGCGATACTGCATTCGAGTYCTGATCAGCTCCAGGGGACTCACCACAGTAGTAGAACCAACTGCAAAGGAGGAAAACATGGTTTTTAAAAAAATAAATATTTAATAGTACAGTTTCCTGAACATTCATGTCTCACCTTTCTTTATGTATTTGATTCAACTCTCCCATTTTCCTTGAACTAATTCCTAAAATAAGTTTCCTTTCCAGATAAGAAAACCATGCCTATTAACAGTACCTACACTTTCTGGTTTAATGATTTTTTTCATTGCTAGCATGTTGTAATCAATGTAACATGTTAAAATTGCTCTTTTTCGGATTTTATAYATAAATAGGCTGAAAAATTCAAGTACTTAAACTCATTAATTTTTAATAGTTGCCATTTAAGGTGTAACTTGAAGAAAGCTATCTTGAGGTTGAAGGCTTTTTTTTGTGTTAAGGACAGGAATTGCAGTGCGAGATTTAAGCTTTTTTTTATTTCTAAGCACCTTTGCCATTCTTATTTGAAACTATTTAAACTATCAAGAATAATTAGCAGACAGTCTGTATCTGATAAAGTAAATCTTGCAGCTCTCACAATGGTCAGTGGCTCATCACTCAGTAACAAGCTACCATCACACAGCTAACAGGCATTAAAAATTTTACTAGATYCAAGAATTTTTCTTCTGCTGCTGGGTAAGGTTTTACACATGAATTTAAAACCTGGAACAGCCTAGTAAGAACAATGTGCTACACCACCACAAAATAACAATTCATTTTCCACTAGATTTCCAGTGCCACCATTGTTGTCTCATGCAGAACATGGAACTGCATTGTCAGACCTYTCTAAGAAAGCCCTAAAATGAACAAAAGTAAGAAAATATACAAACAAATTCCTTCCACCTCACATCATACAGCAGTAAAACCAGCACAAGTCCAATTTTCATCTTCCTTCTAATTACCTGTGCAGCTTCCATTATACAAAATAACGATGTTTACTATTAAATTCATGACAGAACAGACTTAAATTAAGCTCTCCTGGGTAGAAGTCTAGAAATACAAAATTTTAAACGAATTACAAATGTAGTGAAAGTGTAACAGCAAAAACAAATAACATTAATTCAGGCTGGAGGGTTTTACTGCCCAAGAAATACTGGGTAATTACAGTATTCCTTCCTATCCCTCATTTAAAGCCATTGTATATTTACTTTTATTTAAAGTCAACAAAAYATACCCAAGAAAACAATACAGGTATTCTATTTCAGTTTTCCCTTTAAACTGATGACAACTTACATCTGCTTAAGGAACCTGCAAGAAGTGGAATGTATTCATCATCCTTTCCCAGCCGATTTTTCAAGGCTTCAGACAGTTGGTCATAGCAGGTAAAATAGATTACTGTGGTAGGAACTGCCATTACTCTAAAAAATAAGAGAGGAAATTTAAATTAATRCGAGGAAAGCAGGAGAATAAAGTTAACTGGCTTGTATGGATATTTTACTTAAATTTTTAAAAAGTTAAATCTCCAACTGTGTGCAACAAATTAAAAAAAAAAATAAAGCATTAATCCCATGGCTTTGATTCACTGCTTCTAATTCAGAGTTTCAAATCCACAGATTTCCCAGGTTTTCATTTCATTAGACACAACTAAGTAAAATGATGGTAGATTATCATAGTCAAAGTCCATTTGGTATCAACTCCAAAACTACTTTGATAAAGAATGGCAATTGAAAGACCTGAATATGAAGAAACCAAACAAAATATTACAGAACTTAACTTTTATTTATTTAACAATTGGAGATTATGCTCTTTATCTTGACAGTCATGATACTCACTACTTGAGAGAAATTGTGGTATGCATAAATACCAGCTTTTTCCATACCAGCAAAGTACAGACTATAGTAACAATACCAGATTTAGTAATCATTCAGTGTAGGGGTAGTGAACTACAACTTATTATAAAATGGCATTTAGTTATGTCTGTGCCAATGCAGCATATACCACCATTATATTACCAAAAAACACCAAGGACTGTTATGTTTGGAAAACCAAAATGCTATGGTTTAGATCTTTTCTTAAAAGCTGTGTATCCCTCTTCAGTCAAGAAATTAGTTAATTTTCTGTCTGCTAACAGAACATGTTTGTAGAAACTATATTGACTGAAACAGTTCAGTCAGGTCCTATGGGTTTATATTTTGAAATTGCCACATACTGGAGGGTAAGTAACAAGGCTGAGCTTCAYCATGTCTTGCTTTTTTTGTACCTATACCCTGATCACTATCTGTAAATCAAAAGYGTACCAATGCTTCTCACTGAACAACACTTTGTACCTTACAAGTTTAATATACATCTTAGATTTGGCAACTTTCTAGATTGAGGGAGGAGAACCTAGAGGTCTTAATTTCTGTACCAGGTTAATATGAATAAAAAGATAAAACAGTTTGGGGCTGTTAARCCTAAAGAGAAGACCAGGAGGAAATCTGATTACAATGTTTAAATATGTAAATTGCTCTTGCAGAGAGAAAATTAATTATCTGTTTATCCAGATAGAATAAAACCCCAAAGTTCTTTGAAATAAAGAAGATTATTACAAAAATTAAGTGAGGGTAATGAGGTGSAACACCAGAGTGCCTGGAAACAGCTGTGCTGTTGATAGCAAGTCATTAGTAACCAGATAGAACRGCAAGAATGTGCCAAAGATTGGCATTCTCCAGTGATCAGGTCTTGTGATTCGATGATGCTATCAAATGGTTATAGTAGAAAAGGAAAAGCAGAATGAGACATCTAATGTTCYGCTTAACTACTGAGAATGTATCAGAAAATTCTCAGATCTGTCAAAAATTATACTGTCCCTAGATGTTTCTGATAAAAGTGGTAACTCTGTAACTTCAGAATTGACCAAATTTTAAAAATAAGAAATAAGCATAATAATTTCTCTAAATAATTAAGTAATTTTTTAACAATAATGTACAGTATGTTACCAAAAAAACCATTCAACTTACAGTGTTGGGGGAAGCCCACTCCACAGTGACTTAATTCCCTCTATTCGAATAATTTTCACAAATGCATCCTAAAAACACAACCAGGCAAAGATCAATAATTAACTACTAACTTTTGTAGATAGTAATATATTTTAGCTGGCAGAACACAAAATTAATGTCTTTATTTATTTATTTAGAAACATAAAGTACATTCCTAAAATGGCTTATCATTGTAAGATCCCAATTTTGTAACTGCTCCCACAAGCCATCACATTTAATCATGCAAATAGTTCCACTGAGCTGAACAGAATAACTTATGTGATTGAAATTAAGAATTTCCTTCCATCTTTAAAAGACCGTAGTAGTAAGTGTTTATCAGTGAGTGACAGCCCTGTGAATAAATATTTTCWTAAGTAATATGGCACTCCAGCAACTTGTGGAAACTTCCCAAAAATAATCCATTAGAATCTTTTTGCAATATGTAGTGAAGTTTCTAGCCATGAAATAGCAATGAATTCTCAATGACTCTTCAATWCTTGCTTTCTCTGACAATGTGACTACATATAAGCAATGTATACACACTATACCATACACAAGCTTGCAATTATTATTACAGCTGTCCTCTATACTCCCAGAAGATTGACAGCAGAGGAGCACTAAACCTGGAAGATCATTCAACTGAAATCACCATCAAAACCACAAACTCTGTAATACCAGGATAGCTAATTTTCTTAAAACATCTGGGGAAAGAGGTTGAGATTTGATGTATTAAAATACACCTAAGATCAGACATTATCACAGGGCCTCAAAAGACACAGTCTGGCAGACCACAAAAAGGTAGAAGAGGAAGAAAAAGGCAAATAGCTTTAGAGGAGACAGCCTAGATGGACTAATTCTCTGAGGTAAAAAGTTGAAAGGGAAAAACAAAGAAATGGTCTACTGTAAAAAACCCGACTAGCTTTGAAACGAAGCCAAGAACCCCTAAAGACCATAACATGGTTTGGCAAAAAATACACTTGTATACTAGCTATTTAATATGCTTATAATGCAGCTTCAAGAAATTTACAAAGCAGGATGGTACATATAAAAGACTGGGCTCTTTTAAAAAAAAGGAAGCCAATAAAATTTTATGACAGTCATTCTTTAAGAATAACCTTGTTACCACAAAAATGGGCATAAATTCATGTCAAACARAACACCAAGTAAATTTCTAAAATTACACAGTAAAGCTAATGGAAAACACACTTGTAAAATTATTCAATAAAAAAAAAAAACCTTGTAAAATTGCTGAAGACACCTTTTACATTAACATCTCATTCTCAAGAATTTAATTCTGAAAAATTAAATTAAACCTTCTTGATCGTAGGTTTAATTTAATGGCAGAGTCAAACAAAATCTTGAYTGATGAACCAGTATGACAGTCCTTGCCAGCCAAGTTTGTTTCAAGTGTCTGGGAAAAAGCTAATCCTACAAGTTTCAATGGATAGAGAACTTGACAGTGAACTGAACTTTAAACACTATCTGCACCATTAGCTCAGCTCAGGAGAATACTGGAAGATCTGTGGGCCGAAGAGCTGTAACCAGGTAAGAGAAAATTATTACCTGCAATCGGCAACTACTGCCAATATAGCTCAAGGGGGGAAAATAAAATCATAAAGCCAGTAACCTGTGAGGAGAGCTGTGCAGCTGCCTCCCTGTTCATCTCTAGAAAGGAGTATGTATTTTATTGCAGACAGTTGAAGACACCATCAATCACCATATAAATTACCCAGTCTAACCACATGAAGACCCTCTCAAACGAGAACAGATTTCAGTAGAACAAAAAAAMMCAAAAAACCTTACAAGWATGCTACTTTAAAATGTACAGTTTAATATACATGTAAAATATTCTTACCAATGTCCCTTTGAARTGCCCAGGTTTTTTATACCAGGCTTTGCTGTCCCCATTTTCACAAACACATATATGATCCATAAGGCCATTGGAGTATACAAAACACTTTCCTAATAAAATGGTGTATAAGAACATAGTTAATGCTTCTAAGAGTGTTTTTATGCAGCAGCAATTTCAAATTGGATGAAATGGCAATACAGATTTATCTCTGGTTAGACACAGAGAAGCAAAATTATCTTGGTAAGTCAGTAATAACAAATTAGGTCAAAGACAAGAAGGTACAAATGTACCACACAGACCGCCCGACTAAATGGAACTGCCTTCACAAGACTCCAAGAGATGTTTATGTTATACTACCATCTGCTGAAAGCTAAAATTAACACAAGACCTGAATGTCAGTATTGTATGTAACTGTGAACATCTTTGAGACTTTTAAATCTTTTATTAAGTAGTCTTGGCATCCACTACAAGTGGAGGTATTATATTTTAGGCTGGACTGTATTTAATATAGATCATCCCCTCTGCTTGTTTTTCATTTCTTCTGCCTCAAGTACTTACAACCTGCTTGATAAAATATTATTTCCATTATAAAAACATACTCTGAGCTTCACATTTGCAGATTTCTGAAGGCTTTAGAATTACTAAAAATCAGGCTAGAAGGCACAAAGTATTTTTCCTAATTTAATTTGCAAGTGTGACTGCAAATATATCCACATTCAACATGCAAAATCAGTCATCTTCTTTCCTTTTAAATCTCATTTATTAGGTACAAGTAAATAGTAGGAACGATTAGCACATCTTTGAGAGCACAATATCTTCATCTATTTASAACCCAAGTGGCAAGTGACTTAGGTAAGACTTCTCCACTGGAGAAAAAAAATCCACCTCCTCTGGATTCTGGAGGAAATGAACTTTGACATAGCATCCTGACTACATAAACCCTCTGATGAMATATTTATTAATTTAGTAATAGCTTTTCATTGTTTAACTCAAGTCGGTATTAATTGCACCATCTTCCATAATGARCTTATTAAGACAGACAGAAGAAGCAAAGCCTGTTTAAAATGGTATGGATGTATCGGATTTTTCCTACTGTGTCTGTTTAGTACTTATCCCCCCATCAACYCCCACTTACACTGGAAAAACCAACTGCTGGGACACAAACACAAACATTCTGCACCTCAGTAAGCATTATGACAACTATCAGCTAAATACAAGAGCAAAAAGCAAACTGTGTCCCCAGTTACACTTCACGTTTGTTTACCTTTATGGAATGGATTGCGCTGGGCTTGCAGTCGAGTTTTGATAACATCAAGAGGAGTTACTAAAATGAAACAGAAGTGTTTTAGGAACACCCTACATATCCTGAAAATGCAGAAGTTTACAGATGAACTTCTACAACCTTTTTTTGTTTCCAGAGGGGGAAAAAAAGACCAGTTTTTATAAYGTTATCAGGCAGAGACAAAAGGGATGTTAGCAGAGACAATGTTATCAGAAACAAAGGAGAATGACACACCCTGTATGGTTTGCGAGACATCAAATGTAGGTTTTCTAATTTGCTAACAGCCTCATAGGCATGAAGTATTACAGACACACAAAGCTCATCCCAAAACCATTGTGTCACATTGTCTGAAATCGCTAATACTTGTATTATGTTCCACTGCTAACCTTTTATAAGTAGCACACCATAAAGCATACAAAATCAGATTCTGGCCTCCAGCATACAGAATAGTACAGCACTCTTCATGTGTTTATTCTTTKGCAATAAACTGACCATAACACAACAGTCAAAACAAGAATGTCAAATTCATTATGTACTTATTGTCTTTACTGCATGTAGACAATACCTAAAACTTTGGGATTCTTGGAAAGTAAATGAAGGTTTAGTGAACATTTCACTGCTTCCACTACAGCCCTTGCAACTATCACAGGCCTAGACATGCTGAACAGGCTGGGCAGCTGGACAACCCTCCTGATTCTATCAGCTGACAGCTCAATTCAGTTGCCTGCATACAAGCAGCTGTGCCCTCTGAGTTTCCARGGTACCAAAATACCCACACAGTTGACAGAAATGATACAGGACCTACAGCCTTACTTACCAAGAGTTGCTAAAGTCCAAAGTCAAACACTATAGTCAGTGTCTTGCTGAAAACACTCCTATGCACAGGCAGTGCAGSCACAGCTCTCTAGTGCTGCCTGTCAGTTCACTAACAGGTGGTTGAATATTTGGCTCTCAGTTCAGTATCTAAATGTAGGGTTCTAAATGTGACTCCTGCAGTTCAATTGAATTGCATAAATTTATAAAGTTTATAAATTTATTATGATTTTATTATTTAAATTTATAAAATGCTTAAATCTGCCATCTAGTAACATTTCAGCCACTCACACATCCTGTAGCTCGTCACAGTCCAGCACTTCAGAAAGGAGCCAGTCTCCTATACCTTGTAAATACTATCACCCGTCCTAGAATTGTATGTACATACAATTGAAACCCATCCTGGGAATTCCACAGGCCTGATGTACAGGACACACAGTGAAACAGAACAAAAAGATTACGAATTTGACAGGTTCCTGGTGAGATCCTATTTTGTAAAGATTTGGAGATTTTGTGGGAAGAAATTGTGCTTAGAAAATTGCGCATTTCCCTGCAGCTTAATCTACATTGAAACCAAAGTCACAACCAAAGAGTATCTTAAAACAAAATGTAACAGAAACACAAAGTATGAGCTAATAGCTTGGAGAATTCCAAGAGACATGAAGTGCTAAATGCAACCAAACAATGCCTCCTTGGGTACACATGGGGAAGGAGGTCCTGAGTGATGTGACTGAACATGAAGCAGAAGATGAATTTCATCTACTATTCAGAAGTTTAATAGAGTAACAAAAAGGTGTCCTTAAAAGTAATGTTTAGGGAAAGAAAGAAAGAAACCAAACCAAACTCAGAAATKAAAATCTTTGATGGAGTAAGATATCACAGCAGAATAAATTCTTACTAAAGTGGTAACATGAAGGGGATGCCTCACAGGGACCAGCCTTGCAGAATTACTGTCTTTTACTGAAAAGCAGACTTTTATCTACAAGATTTTCTAAGCAACAGGAAATATGGAAATTATTTTTATTAATAATTTTGGTTTCTTCTTGATATAAAGCAATTAATTACTAAACCAAGTGAAAAAAAAATCTCAGAAATTAGAAGTTAGTAAATATTATTCTTATTTTCAGAAATGGTTAGAGATTATCAAGAGACAGAAGAGATTAAAATTAACCATGCTTTTTAAAAGACAAAAAAGAAAAGAAAACCATAACTTTGTTGAACACATTAGTGGAAACATAAATCAGCAGACATCATGCCAAGTCAAACTGAAGAGCAATCACTTTGTAAAAATTCTCTCTGTGGCCAGCTTCATAGCTTGTCTTACCAAATAATGATGTAATTATAGCTCCACAACAAGAGGCTATTGCTTGCTGAACAATGGTTAGTTTCTGTAAGTTGGTATCACTCATTTCAGCCACAGCTTTATCCGCGGAGAAGAAAAACCTGTTAAGGAACAGAAAAACATATTGTAAGACTATGCTCAAAACTTGCAGAAAGAAATCAAGGGAAAAATAAATTTTCATTACTTAAGTTATATAGAGGCAGCAATAATAGTTTTCTACTTATACACAGGCATCTCAGTAATTTTTGGGAGTATTTGAGCCATGTTTTGCTCTTTAGGTTTTCTAAAGACAGTAAATCTTCAAAAACCTTCTTACGTGAATTACAACATTTATATGTTCTTGCAAACCACATTAAATATTTAAAATGCATTACCTTTAGTTGCAACCAAATGTTTATGAACATGCAAATAATCCTTACAAAGATTATTCCCAGCCTGTGGCCCACAAACTGAAGCCCTGCAGAATAATTCACTCAGCCCTTCTCTTGCTCCCTTTTCTCCTGAGAGAACCCAGAAAGGTCTCTCTCAATTTTGGTTGATCCAACAGGCACAGCGTGCTAGTGATGACKATGTACCCTGGCATGCTCCTCGTGTAAYAGACAGGGACTAACCAGTAATAATRCTACCARCAAATATTAACTCCTTGGACAAATCCTGCCCTGCGGCTGCATAGGCATGGCCACCGTAATTCAGGAATGCAGTCAAAATATCTGCAACTAACCAGGACAAGAGTAAACAACAAAAATAAAAATATTTTGGAAAATAAAATCCCCAACTAGAGGTATCTCTTTCAAAATGGACTACTGTGCATCCCTAACTTCATTAGCTGACATTGACCTAAGCTTTTCACTGGCTTTACAAGAATGTCTTATTATTTAACTCTTAAGTTAAAGATAAGTAAGATTAAGCTGCACAAACCAACTCTGTCCTCTCAGGTGCTAACAACTGCAACGAGGGGGCGGGATATTGTCTCTTTCATGAATCTTTAACTTAGCAGTGGACTGCTGCAGAACTGCGTACATACCGCTATCGGTAGCGCCCCGGCCGCGCTCGCCGGGGGCAAAGGTCCCCGCAATCGCACCACGGTCCCTGAAGCGTGGCGAGGACGGAAGGACACTGGTGCACCTACCCCGCCTCCCGAGCCAAGGCCGCCGAGCTCCTTGCCCAGGGCCTGCTTCCCTTGACTCCTTCCCTTCCCCCTTCCCTGSCTTCCCCTGTGCCCGCCCCTCGGCGGGAGGGGCCGGCCCGCGCGGGCCGTTGGTGAGGGCGCAGGAGCCGSCGCGGCGGAGGCGGGAAGGCGGGCATGGAGTGCTGATCGGGGCTGCCGGCGGAGCGGAGCGGAGCGCGATGTGACTCTGCGGGAAGATGAAGCCGAGCGCTGCTGAGCCCGCCGACAAAGGAGCGCGTCCCGGTAAGCTGCGGGGGACTGTGAGCAGATCGSGGGAGCTGCCGGCGTTCAGGCCTTTCTTAGCCGGTGCCGCCAGCCCGATGGGGACTGTGAGGCGCCGCAGCCCGCCCTGTGCCGGCTTTGGGCCCCAGCCGCGCTCGGGCCGGCGCTGGGACCGGGGAACAGCTGGAAGGGCCTTTGTAAGGTTCGGGGAGTTAAAAGTAAAAAGGTGACCCTGGTGTGTGGGGAATCGCCGGACCCCTGAATTGCGAGCTGCTCCTCCGGGCAGGGCTTCGCTGGTATTTGCGTGGAAGGCTCCTTAGGCCCAGGGTGTGAGGACACAGCCACTTTGCTAGAGAGACTCTTCACTGGTATTGCAGTCCTGCTAACTCGCTCCAAACTTTCAATTAGCCATGAGAACTTTATTGTGAACTTTCAATTAGCCATGAGAACTTTATTGTGCATGCTCCAGTACTGCATCCAGGGTTCAGTGTGTTAATTTTCAAACTGCCCTGGCATGTGTATGCTTGGTAAAACACCATATTTGATCCCTGATCATCCACAGAATTTTCCTAGCATACTTGCTTATCATCCATCTTTTCTGTTTAGATTCGGGATTAGATGCACCAACCTGTGCCTCCCCATTTTCTTACTTCTCTTGGGTTTTTTATCTTCCAGATCCCTCAAAGTTGACTAATGTTCCTGCCTCACTTAGTGTGCTCATAAACTTTACTTAGAAAATTTTGCAGCATGAGCAATGGTTCTGCTCCCTTTCCTATCTAAGATTGTTTCAGGGAGGAAGGGAATACCTAACAGAGGGACTGTTTTACATGTTGCCTTTCTGTTTCCAGAAGAGGCCTGTTCACTTCCTGTAGCAGCTCTCATTGTCATGAGCTTCTCCAGAAGAGGGGCAACTAGGAGCAAATCAGTGAGGAAGAAAAAACAGGGTAAAGCCAATATGTGCAATTGTGCTTCGAGCAACGTGGTCTAGTGCAAGGTGTCCCTGCCTGTGGCAGGGAAGTTGAAACCAGATGATCTCTAAGGTCCCTTCCAGCCCAAGCCATTCTATGAYTTTATGGAAGCTTGCTACATCCATTCCTGTAATTTAGGCATTTTCTTTTTTGAAAATAAAACCAAAATCCAGTTCTGTTGAATTTTTTTTTTCAGCAGATGGAATACAAGCAAAAACAGAAAAGATTAGATCTTCCCTGAAAAATGTGAAAAAAGACATAGGAAAAACAGAGAAACTCAAATTTAAGCCGCTCACCGGGAAGGTGTTTTACCTCGATATCCCATCAAATGTGATCTCTGAAAAGTTAGGAAAGGACCTCAAAGAGCTGGGAGGGGTAAGTTAATAAGAGACCTCTATGAATCTAGAAGGAAATCTGCACCTCTGGAATGCCTTTTTTGTGTTCTTTGTGACTGCATTTTAATTTTTTTTGTACTTTACCTGAGACCTTTATTTTTCTATGTTTGTGTTAATGTTTACTACAAACAATGAGCTTATCAACAAATTATTCTGTATTTTTTCAAGAGAAGCTGCTTTGCTGATTATAACAAAAGTTCTTGTTAGGAAGTTTTGTTTTCAGTTGATTATTCACTTGGTTTAAAATCTTATCCAAATTTATTAGGTTTCTTTGTTTGAGGTGATTTTTCTTCTGCTGCTTCAGACTATATTGACATATTTACATGTTACAACTAATGGTGTTCAGCCAGATCTGAAAGAGATTAAAGGAAGGCTTTTGCATATGTTTACTGTAAGTCAGTTTTGGACAGAGTATCTTAGTGTTTTTGAATACTTTCACTTAAATAAAAAATTTTATAAGCATCTTATTGTTTTCCTAATTCTCCCTTCTGCATGGAAGTAACTCTGATACAAGCAAGTACAGRAGACAACAGTACTGCAAGCAATGCAATTAAAAGTGCTAAACACCTTTTAAGCACAGAGGCAAAAGGGATCTGCTTAAATTGCTATCTGTTCTGAACGTTGCTTTGACAATACTTCTTTGACCTTAGAGGGACACACGGCAGCTTTATGAAACTGGTGCTTGTAAATCAAGGTGAAATTACAGTAGCAGTAAGGAATAGCAATAACGTGGTTTTGCGTTAAGTACATTGTTTTACGTTTAACATCAAGTGCCTGCTGTCATTTCTCTTCTTTTCTAAACCAGAATTTTAGGAATTCATATGTGGAAAAGTAAGGTTAAAAATCAAAGACTGAAAAAGAAGGTATTTTTGCTTTTTCTGAGGAATAAATGTGTCCATCTGAGGTGCTCAAGATCAATTACCACGTTTTGTTGTGTGTGGAGTGCACTCAGAATTGCCTGTCTCTGAAAGTCCTGTTTCTGTAAAAGACGCATAGAGCAGAATTTGAAGGCACAGTTTTTGAAAGGCACAGTTTCAAGCTGTGTCATTTGTGCTTTCCACACTGATTAGTGGAAAAGAGGAAAATACTTCAGACTATACAAAGTAACATGAAATATCAAGGCAAATAGCTGATAATCACACTGTAGTTGGCAATGAAAGACTGAAAGAGCAAAATGGAAGAAAGTGAACACCAAATAACCACATATTTATATTGCTGAGTATGAGAMTATTAATCTACTTAAGACTTTATTTTTTTGAGAAGTGTTATGAATACTAGGTGTGAAACATGGTAGGTGTGAAACATGGTAGCTATACTGAAATTTTAGTTTTTCTGCTGGTTCTAAACCTAATGTATTTATAGCTTCTTGCAAGCACCTGCTTTTAAGGTGAACACTTCTGTGTAATTTGTGTTACAGAAAATTATAGACAGTTGTTTTCTTTGAATTAGTCTGTTACTCCTTAATGCAGTGCTTGCACTCTTTATATTTGGAAAGTATTAGAGGTAGATAGTAAAAAAATTCCAATAATCAAAACAAAACAAAGMTCTTTTGATAAAGATTACAAAATTAAGAAATTGAAATCAGCATTTGTGATTGGTAAAACGCTACAACGTAATTGTCATTGTCATGCAGTTATTTAGAAAATATTTTCTTGTTAATTCAGTGTTTTTGAACTTAATTGTTTTAGAAGTTTTATCACTTTCTTTTAAAATATTCAATATAAAATTGAACTACTAATCTATTGTCCTGAAATAATTATTTGCTTTATATCTTTTAGAGAGTGGAGAGTTTTCTTAGTAAAGATATYAACTATCTGGTGACTAATAAAAAGGAGGCAAAATTTGCACCAGCTCTTGGCCACATTTCTCCTGTTCCTAGTCCTGAATCTGTGCCTAATGGAGGAAATGGTTCACCTCATCCTAGCAACCGAAAAGATCGGCATGATGGAAGTTCATTCAAGATAGTAGATGCAGTAAGTTTCCTAGTAATAATACTGCAAATCAGGTTTAACTTATGAGMTATGCTCTTACAGTTTTTCTCCTATTTTGTTTCCTAAAGGTGGCAGCAGTTTCTTGAGTGAATAAGGGTTTTTAAACTTATTCAGGCTAACTTGTTAACTAACCCAAACTAATTCAGCATTTTTTTTGAAACTAATTTTAAAAAGGAGCCATTTTTGCAAATAGGCAGGGTACATTAAAATCTGTTCTAGTGTAGCATGTGTGACTTACAACATTGATTTCATATTTGACAGCTGGATCAGGCATGTGTTGGCATCCAGTGATTCTCTAGCAACACAGCCTATTAAAATCTGGCTGATGTGTTGTTCATGCTGATATCCACAGAAACACTCTTTGATACTAGTAGGAAATAATTAAAATTGAGCATTATGAATATAAAGCTTTCCTGAGCTCACTCTTAGGGGATAACATTATTTGCAAGAGTTTGTATTTGAATTTATTCAGGTTTATGTGAAGTTTCTTACATGGGCAAGTCTTATGTCCTTTCAAAATACAGTTGAAAATAATTAGCTGCACTGTATATATGGTACTTACTTAGAAACGTGATGGAGCCAGGCTGCAGTCTGGTCTTTGCATTGCATAGTTAAGAACACCTCATTTTGCAAATAACCTCGATAGGTAAAGGCAGCTCATTATGAATTAGCAGCAAAAAGTTAAAAAAGGACCTGCACTGTTGACACAAAAGCAGGGGATAAGACAGAGGCTATGACTATATTAATGACTGTTAGCTTAWTTTTCACAAGCCCTGCTGATGAAAGCTGATCTTCTGGTGCATGCTGCTGGGTCTTATTCCCACTATGTGTCCCACCACTTAAGTCTTATTCCCACCATGTGTTGTTCCAGCATTAACATTGCAGTAGCCTGCTTTGGCTGAAAAAGATTACTTCTTGGGTTATTTTGGTTCTGAGGTTTTCCCCCTTACACTGTATCAACCATGACTGTAAAAAAGAGGCATACTACTAAACAACTAGCAGTACTGTGAGCAAAAGGACACCATCATAACTAACAAATGTATTTGTTAAGAGCATTTTAAATTGGCTCACTTTGCCGCAAATGTGTTTCTGTTTTAATGTAGGTGCGTATGAGCAGAGGAAAATCCTTGGTTGAAAAAGCAATTAAAGAACAGGTAAGTCAAAAAAATAACAAATTAGTGCTTCAGAACCTTTGGTGGTTTGTTCTAGAAAACAAGCAGTAGTAAAAGTGTCATTAGTGGTTTTAGAGAGAAGTCAGTCATGGAATGCTCAGGCAGAAGTTGAGGGATTGTCCTAAGTAAAAGTGTCAGCTATGTTTTCCGGGTACTTTCTGAAGAATTCAARGTCTCTGGAGTCTTAGGATGAGTATTAAAATTTGTCAGGTTTGCTAATATAACTAGCATTTGAGAGGTGCTCATGAAGTTATTGTATAAATTCACTGTCCTCAAA